AACATTGTGGCGCTTTGGATCGCAGTTTTAGCGTGTTTTTATGTCAAAATCTCGGCAAACTAAAAAACTGGAAATTTGATTACTTTCAAGTTAAAAAATTTGAAGAACTAGACTTTATGTAGGTAAAACCCCTCATGGTGAAGAGCAAATGCAAATAATCTAAATATGATTTTATCAAAAGAGATGATGATAAATTGTGGATTGAGCCTCGATTACGGCTGTATATTATTTTTGAACACAGAAATATACAACAATTTTGTCCAGTTAATATTTCTTCTACGATGTGTTCGGAGACCAGTATCAGAAACTTGTTAAAATGCAATTGTTATTAACAATTACTGCAAACAAATTAATCAACATAGATATGACTATGCAAAATATGTAGTTGGGTTTCCAAAACCTGTCCTAGCAATGAGATATTCGTAATATGAAAGCAATGCAAGGAATGCTGGCTAAAACCTAATGAAAGATATTAAACATCGAAGACAGTATTAGGGAGTTAAGTTAAACAAGCTTTGTCTACAGGCTAAAGCGATAAAGGCTCCATTAGTCAGACCCAGTCAAGATAGTGTAAGTGCACGTATCAAATGAGCTTTAGTTAACAATACAGCTACGCGACACTGCGGCGCACTTTAGACCGGTCAGTTTTACGTTTACTTCTTCATAATCGCGCTGGTACCACTCAGATTGACGACGAGAGTCCAAAAAAAAAACAATCCGCTTTTTTCGTTATGTAGCTTCTGTCTCTGCCTTATCGATACCAAGAAATACACGCCCAAAGTCTAAGAGAATTTTGTCTATAATATTGAGGTAGAGTTTTTGGAGAACTTTATATTGCTGTTCCGATAAACTAAGTGATTATAACTACTATTTGCAGGTCAATTGACAATTGGTCTGATTCCTCAAGAGCGTTTTTTGGGGTTTACTCAAAAGTTTTCTTTGCTTAAGAACGGTTAACAAAGCTGAAAATGGAGATAAGGCAACCTTTTAGTGCGATACGCTAACTAAACTACCTTCTGAGAGTTTTTCAAACAATAAAGCTTCTATTTGATGATTAAACCGATAGAGAATGGGCGCACTTAAGAATAGGCGTCTAAATGCTCAGACATTACCTCGATCTTTTTGTTATTTTTGGTCTTTTAACATAAATATTTTGAACCTAAGCGATGGTTCAAGAAGGGTCACGCTACTTTTATCGACAAATAAGAATTTTTTTCCGACAGAGTTTACCTGAATTGTCTTGATTTCATGAAGTTTGAGATTTGCGTGTTTTTTTTCGAGTTGCAAAATCGACTCGAACATGACGCTGCTTTTTTCGAAGTTTGTCAAGAACGATTTGAGCCATAGAATTCGTTTAGGCATCGTTGGATAGATAATTGACAGTTCGATTCTGTCATAACAACATAACTGAGGAAAATTGAGTGGTTTTGACTCAGAATGGAAAGTGTCCATATTAGACACTTAGTTGCAAGATTATGCCAAATTTTCATGTTTTCCGTCCCGTTCTTGCTTATTTCTCGGAAGCAAAATGAACAAGAACGCTCACTGTTACATCGTTTCACATAGAACTAAAAGGCCTTTTTAGAAAGTGAACCATCGATAAGTAAATGTTGGCAGTTTTTGGCAAGTCTTGATTTGAAGAAGTTTCAGATTTGCGTGTGTTTTTTGAGTTTCAAAACCGATTCAAACATGACGCAGCTTTTTTCGAAGTTTCTCAAGAACCATTTGAGCCACATTTCGTTTTGGCATCATTGGATAGATAATATATAATAGTCATAGCAACATGAGTGGGAGATTCGAGTAGTTTTGACCCAGAAAGCTGAGTATCAGACACTTAGATGCACGATTATGCCAAAATTTCATGTTTTTCGTCCTGTTTTTGCTCATTTCTGGGAAGTAAAAAAAGCAAGAAAGCTTGGTTTTTCAATTTTTACACCATTCAAGAGATAACTAAATTCCCTTTTTAGAAAATGAACCATCTATATGCAACTGGTTTCAGTTTTCTGAAAACTTGTCTTGATTTCAAGAAGTTTATTATCAGATGATTAATATCAGATGATAGTCAAATGAAAAAAAAAATGAATATCAGATGCAATTTGAGATAATCGAATTAACCGATCGATTTTATCCTTAATCTGTTCAAGCATTCCGTCATTTTTTAAAGATTTTCGAAAGGTTGCAACAAGTCTTAACAAGTGAAAATGTGTTCTAAATCCGGCTGATGTTAATGCATTTTGGCTAAGAAAAATATACAGTTTTAATCCAGAATTTGGCACTTGGACATAGAACACAAAGCACCCGCACTACGGATTTAACTGGAAGCTTATTTGCCCTGCCCATTCAATCTATGGGGGGTTAATCGTTCTTCTCTATAACAAACCGTATTTCATTACCAATGCTACAAGTCCTTATTGATTGGACTGGCAGCAAGACGATACATCATTCTGCTGCTATATAATATATAATGTAATTCAAAATGTATAAGTAGATATGCAAGTACAGCCCATATGCCAATTGTCATTAGCAACAAATTTACCAAATTTTTTTTATTGCTCTAGAAAAAATAGCTTACTTATTTAGATTCCACTTGATACCACCCATGGTCACCGATATGAATGAGTTTTGTGTTGTAAATACTTCATTAGTGCTTCTTTACAATTGTAAATAAAACACTGTTTTTAAATATCTTTTTTATAATCGCGATTAAACCCAATTTGCACTATTTTGCGTCTTAAACCCTTTTTGTGCCTTTTTGCATATTTGGTATACACTTCCGATGTTTTATTTTACTAGAGTCCTACAACCGATCAGATGAACCGATATAATCCTTATATGGACTCTGTATACCTATGCAAGAACTAAAATATATCTTTTATAAATTCATACAAGTTACTTGCTGTAAATTAAGTAAACAATGGGAAATTGGGAAATCAGACAAAACTGATTCTACGTTGCAAATTATTTTTATTTGGAAATTTACTTAATATAAATCCAAAATTATTATACAAGTTATAGAATTCTAAGTTGCTGCTGATTTTTTACACATTTTAACTTGGATTAACACCCATCATGCCGTGAAACTCTGCTGTATTTATGCGATCAATTTCATTTAACGTAAATTCGCCTAAAAACTCTTTTACAATTTTCCATATTTTGATTCCTCTTGACTGAGCCACAATGCATTTATTTTGCAGTTTTAGAAGCATTTTATTGAAAATCCCTAAATATTTTAAACAAAATTGATACCTACTGCAAATTCGTAAATTCGTAATCTGTTTACTCAATCAATTTCATAAAGCGGAAAAACGCCTATAAATCCTTTTTGCATTTTTCATGCTTCTTTCTTTTTGACTGAGGCCCCAGCTCTATTATAATGGGCTTTTTTTGAAGCATTTTATGGATAATCGCTTATGGATTGAAACAAAACTGATACCAATTGAAAATTCTCAATCTGTTTATTATAATTTGAAACAGAAAAAATTCTACCGGTTTATTTTCTGATTATTTTGGATTTCAACCGGTCATGTTCATCAAAAATTTCATAGAACGGAATAACGGCTAAAAGTGTCTGTTGCAATTATCCGTGCTTCTTCCTTGTTTGACTGAGTGCAATATTATATTGAGCTATTTTTACCAATTGAAGAAATTCGCATTCTATACCTACTATAATTTTAAACATACTTATTAAACTTTCACCGGTTTGTTTTCTGATTGTTCTGGACTTATTAAAACCGATTACATTGTGGTGATCAATCTCATAGAGCGACAAAATGTCTTAAAATATTTTTTGCGATTTCTGTTTGTTTTCCCTTTTTTACTGAGTCAAACTCTATTATATTGTACTATTTTTAATCATTTTAAGCCAAAACACTTATTGTGTTTAATAATATTGATACTGATTTAAAATTCGCAATCTGATTTCGATAATGTTAGGATTATTTCAATAAGCGTCAACGTGTTGTGCATGTAATATCTAACAGATTTTCGTAAGTCATTCGTTTCAATCCATTGTATATTTTGATCGATATCGCATATTTTTTGAGCTCTTTCAACTCTTTTGCAAGCGTAATGTTACTAATCCGTCGAGAGTCCAAAGATACAGTTTAAGATTTACAAAACCGTCTTTAGATCAAAGAAAAAAGTCAATAGGTAGTTGAAGTCACCTGAAGAAGAAACTATTGTTAGTTTTCAATAAAACTACGGCGGATATTGGTAAAGTAATATACGCCAGTATTAATGAAATCATTTCAAATATAAAATCGATACAATTATTACTATGAACACAACCAATAAAATGTATTTAGTTCAAATTTTTTTTATGAAGTATTCAGTTTTTCGTTGCAAGTACCATCACTTTCGGATTATGCCTATTTTGATGCTATTGAATATTCCATTGCCTAAGGTGTGCCTTTGTTATTGTCACTGACTTTTAACGTTGTGAAATCCGACCTTTCCATTTTTGGATTTACGCGGCTCAAAATAAAACTGTAGAACCAATTCACAACAGTTTTTCGAAAAACTGTAGCGAGATTTGATGAGTGAGTTCGAAAAGTTTCCGGTCTAGCACCATCCATAGACGAAAACTATTTTTAAACCAACGCAGCAACATGAAACATTTTTCCTTATTAGTCGTTCTATGATTCAATTTGTGTGACCACATTAATTACAATTATCTGATGTTCATCAGTTTCTGATGAATCTGAAGGAATTGAACTTCAACTAGTTTCCGGATTAATATTAGGTATCATATGCCTTTAAAGCAGGAAAAGCGTTTTTTACATACAGAGCAAATTTTGAATTAAGCGTTGGTTGATGGAACAGATGATAAATCCGAAGATTTCAACATTGTCCTAAGCAGACCTGCAGGTGATGTTGCAGCCAAGTTGGTTGGCTCATTATAGTAGAGTCCCCATTAACAAAACCAATTATGTGACTAGTAAATCACGTCCCACCATCAGCACAAATCGACACCGGAATCACTTAATACTAGAGACACTCACCCAGGGCCGCTGGTGAAATGGTAAACCAAAAACAAAACTAAAACAGTTGGGACTAGCCACAAAAAACTACACGGCGTACGTAACGAAACGTCTACACTTACTTTCTGTAAGCAACTGGTATACCTTCGTTTCACCAGGTATCGTGTTACCTGACTTTTAATCAATTTGAACCAATCGGCGTTGGGGGCGGCGGTTTACCTGGTGCTCGGCTCCAATGCGCCCAATGGGCGGACTTACGACTTGATTAAAATAATGGAAGTCAAAGTTATGAAAATACTATTATGGGAGTTAATTATTTGTAAACATTCCCTAATTGCTTTAAATATATATTAAACGGTCTTGTATAAATTGCTCGATTAAGGTTAAGAGGATATTGATATCAATTTAATAACATCAATTTCTTTGTAATCGCATATTGGTTGGGTTGTTTCTTTTTTACTTTCGATGTAGACGTGGAGCTGCTAGTTACTAGTTTATGCAATGGCGTATATTCATACCTACTGAATTAAATGCCAGTTCTCTTTATTTTACGGCTTAACTTCACATGGTCCGAAGAAGGACCCATAATATTTTAAGATTAAAACCCTAGTTGTTTTCGGTGGTTCATTGAAAATTCGTTTACACCAAGAAAAAATTTAACTAGTTAGTAAAATAACCTTTTGGAAGCAAAATAATACAATAGCATTTGAATTCAAAAAAGCAGCAGTTGACGTTGGGTTTCCCACCAAACAACATTTTTTCTCGTATATTTTAGTTTGTTTCTTCAGGATTTTGCTCTGGAAACTACAATTCACACCTGTTATCTCCCCTTTACCAAACTGCAATATTATCATGTAAAATGTTGACTCTGACTAATTTATGATGAATTTCTAATATATTAAATAGGAAAAACACACAAAAAATTATGTCAAAAGGATTATACTGTTGATATTTTTTTCTCACATTCGAATAACTGAGCAAAAATCCTTTGATAAAATCAGAACATGAAAAGAGAATAATTTGAAGCTTAATTAACAGTCAATATAGTAAACCAATAAATATAATATTCCAGCCCAGAGACAAATCCCAATCGGCAAAATACTTTAGAAATTGAATTTAATTTTTTTTCTCTCTCTCTGCTAAGAAGTTAAATGTTTCATTGGGCAAGTAGCTGATTTTATTTAAGTACGACACCTTTGATGAAACCTTATTCAATTTGCTAAGAACCTCTGTCCTCACATGCTTTTAAATTTTGCCATCTACTCTTTTCTTGCATTTCCTTTAGTAATTTTCCTTCAGCTCTTTGTTTTTACTGTTTTATTGTTCTCAAAGCGTAAGTGCGGTTTTGTCTGAAGACTTTCGTCTAATTCCTCTCGAATTTGTAAAGATTTTATCAAGTTTTCTCTTATTCTTTTCATTTGATAATATAATTTTGCAAAATTCTTACACGAGGTAAAGAAACGTCTGGTTATTAATTGGGCCGTATTTCAACTTTGTTTGATTGTAGCCTTGTTGGCCGCAAATGAGCTTAGGTAATCGAAATTTTCCAAAATTAAGAGAAAATGCTATTTTTTAAGATTTGTGCGGTTGCTCTGTTAAACCATAGGTAAGCCGATGGCCAAATTTTCTTCTTCACAATGACTCAGTTGAATTGCTAAACAGTGTAAAAGACAAATGAGTCTAATTTTTTCAAACACTGTTTCTGAACATCTTCAATCATTTTACGCAGAGATATTTGCAAGGTAATTTCTTATATTTTACCCTTGAAGATTTTACCAGTCCCGACTGAATAATTTAGTGATTTCATATGTCTTAAAGTATTCCAATGGAAAATGAAATGAGAAATATAATATGGAAACTGGAACAAAGTGGACATCGATTTACTAAGTAAAGTTAAATTTTTGTAAAATTTCGAACAGCTAAGCCAATATTGAAATAATTGAGTGATGAATATTTCTTCTCAAATATTCTCTTATCTTAATATTCTTTTATCTTATTCTCAATATCTGCTTCTCCTCAAATATTATATTTGAGATATGGAAAATTTTCAGAAAATCAACACAAATGCCACCCAAAACAAAATCATAGTAAAATTTTGTATATTAACAGAAAGATAAGTCAATTTTTGATTAGGTTGAAGAAAAGGAAGATTCTTCAATAAAAAATCGATGGCTTTAAATTGAAATCTCAATTTTCTCCAACATTTTGCAATAAATTGAATTAAAGTTTCTTTCTGAAATAGAAAAAAAATTTTTAGAAGCATGCATAAATAGTAAAATCACAAATAAAAGAAATTCGCCAGACAATGAGACTATTTTTGTATTTTAAGTTAAAGCAAATGTCCTTTAAATCAAATCATATAAATTCAAAAAATCATGACAAAAAATTTTAAAATTGTGAAAAACTTGAGCTAAACCATCAAAAAAGCAATGAAAAATGCTCGAAACACATTCACATACGTGAGAGTTTAGACAATAATTCAATATTGGCATCACGCTTGATAATTGCATGTCTGTTGTTTTTCATCTACATCATTACCTTTTACATCTACATCATTACTATGATGCAATCACAGTAAATAAATTTACACACATTTTCTGATCACTTTATCACAGGTTATTTATATTATTTAAATTGAGCTTGGAAGTCTAAATAAACAAATTTATTCACACATCTTGATAATAAATAAGAAAAATTGAAAGCGCCTACATACCTGAAATAGAGATGAAAAATAAGTTTGATCTGAAACTGTTTTCCAATTTTTAATAACATTTAAGTAAATTTGACATTTTTTCCATGAATTCTGACAATTTAACAAAATATCACTGATGATGCTTATTAGATATTTCCATTAGGAAAATTTGCGCAAATAAATCAAAAAATCCAAAAACGAAACTACACTACAATTTTGTATTTSAACAAAAAAATACGGCGATTTATAATCGAAAGGAAAASGAAAARTCGATAGCTAGAATTTGCTTCTGAAATAGTATATGAATTTGCCAAAGCCTGCACAAAGCGCGCAGAAACATAATATAATAATGGCAGAATTTAACAASTGATATGATAATAATTGATTTCCTAAGCTGTCGAATTTAACGCAAATGTCATCTAAATCTTGGGAAAAACTTGAGCTAAAACCACCAATCTTTTATCTATCTAAAGCAATAAAAAATGACGAAACTCGAAAGAAATTGCTGAAACTTTTAGTTCACTCATCACTCTGAAGGAATTTCCTATGTGTTGTTTTCCTAACTTCATCGATTTTTTCAAAATCTGCAATGGAAATGAGTTCAATTTAATTAATTATCAAATCAGCCGTTTAATGGTTAAATTTCTTATAGAGATTTCTAGTAATTTATCAAATCGCTTATTTAACTTAAAAAATCTGGAGAATGTCCAGAACTTCCAAGTTCTCTAAAATTAAAATGTTCAAATTTGTGTATATTTCAACGACTTAAACACACGTTTATAATATTGTTTAAACTTTGCGGATGAATGCGTAAATAAACAAATTTGTGCACATAAATATTAACAGTGGGTACCTGCTATTCTAGCAGATGCATTAGAATAGCACGTTTACATGAAATAGAGATTAAAAAAAAAAAAAAATTAGAGATAGGAAATGTAAGCTGAAACCCTTTTTTAATAGTGGATCGAAGCCTGTGCAAATATTTTTGGATAAATTCGCTGACTATTTAAAAAAATTATTATATTGAAATTGAGATTCCGATCCAGGACATTTTAAAACTTTTTTAGGCAAAACATTTTAATTTGCTTATTAGATATTTTCAAAAATTTGAAGTAAATTTTGTTGTTTAGCTTAAAGTGAAGAGTCCCAAGAATCTTAAAGTAAATTCAAAATAAGCTCGGCTCTGTTGCATCCCTCATTCAATCCCAGAATTCCAGCTAAATCGGATAAATATACGTTTGCCCTCAATCTAAAGAAATCAGAAGCATACTGCATTGGAAGTTTCTATATTCATTCAACAATTAGAGAAAACCAGAAAACGTCGAATAAGCCAATTTTTGGTCTATTTAGCTTTCTTTTTAAGCAGAACAAAAAACTTCGTGTATGTGTTTGAATTAGATAGTTGTCATTGAAAACATTTCAAACCGCTATGTAGTGACTATTACGAAGAAGTTAAGATCCTATTCACATAAATTGTTTTGTGTGGGCCCACGGTAGTTGCCATGAAGAACCCGACTAAACGAGCCTTTTTCGTGTCTACTTTAAAGATAAAATCAGCGGCTATGGTAGGCATCCATCTAATAACAAATAACCGGGGCCGTGTTACGCCACAACCTAATTGGTTTTATATTAACATCATTAGTGTCTATTGTTGGAAATAAAATTGTATTACCGGCCATACATTCAAATAAGCTTTACAATATAAAAATGAGAATCGGTTTAATGACAAGCGATTAATTTTGATATATCCATAATACGATTGGGATTAAACTCGCCGGTCAAATATCCCGGAATTTCTCAGCTAAATTACCATGATTGTTGTCTAATGAAAGTACTCTCCTTTATTAATATGAATAACTAAGTGTGTCAATCAAATACTGTTCTCCCTCTATTGCTGCAACCCAAGTAATACTAAAAACACATTTTACTTTGCTGGTAATCACATATGAAATCGTTTGTTTTTCATTATCATTATGCTTCATTCAGGTTTATTATCCTGATATTTCATTCCATCATTCAAAATGTTATTAAGGGCGACTCTTGATGGAATAACCAATTAGTTGAAAGACACCTGAAATTTACATAATCGAGGTTGTTTAGGAGCAAATGCTCCAGATCTATCGACACAGCTTCTTTTTTTGGAAATCTGCTCATTAGCTGAGGGATTCTTCATTTATAATTTTAAACTGTCTAAGATTAATCTAAACTCTAAGTGCTTTTTGTTTTTATTTTTTATTTACAATCTTTCTACAGACTTTCAGCAAAATTGATATATATTTACACATGGTCTAAAGTGACTACAGTAAAGCACAAATTGAACAAATTCCAAAAACGAAAAGAAGAAGCGAAAGTTTATAACAGATTATTTCGAGTCTTTTACCGAAAGTAATTAGGACTACTTTGAAAAAATGACCAGAGAGCAAAAGTTTACAAACAATTATTGGGACAATT